ACCAATCGATACCAGTCCGTCCGTATTAATTCCATACTCTCCAAACCTTTAAAATTAGAAAGTGGCGTACCCCAAGGAAGAATTTTATGATCCTTGCTGTTTAGCATATATGTCAATGACTTACCCTCAATAACTAGTAAATGCTCTATCGAAAGTTATGTGTGGATGACACAAAAATGTACACATGCTTTTCAGCCAAAGAGTGTGATTCAACTATGTTGTCTATAAATGAAGATCTCGTGAGAATCTGAAATTTGTGCTTCCAAAATCTTTTACTAATAAATCCAGGTAAAACTCAATTAATGGTTTACGGAAACAGACAAATGGTCGCTAAATTACCAGAACGTTTTCAACTCTCCTTACTGGGGAGTATTCATTTACTCTAAATGAATCGATAAAGAACCTGGGTGTAACTTTTGATACCAATCTTAATTTTAATGAACATATTATTAAAGTGTCAGCCCAATGTGTGTCTGCCCTAGGACAAATCAACCGAGTTAAGCATGTCTTTGATAGAGAATTACTTATTACAATCATTAATTCACTGGTGTTTAGTAAAATTTTTACTGTTCATCCGTCTGGTCCATGACATTTGAGGGAAACATTAAGAAACTTCAGTCGGTATAGAAATTTGCGGCGCGTATCATCGGTGGACTCCAGAAGTATGATCATGTGGCCCCAATTCTAAAAGAGTTGCAATGGATCCCATTAAAGAAGCATTTATTTTACCGAGACACAGTGCTTGTGTTTAAGTGTATGAACAGATTGGCACCCAATTACTTGAGCTTTCTATTTACCACAAGAGAATCTGTCAGCAGAAGGACAACTAGACAATCTCGCCAGCTAAATTTTCCACTTTTTACAAGTGCAAAAGGAAAGAAATCCTTTAAATATCGTATAGCAAAACTATGGAATGAGTTACCTTCTGACATTAGACTATGTGGATAAATTAGTGTTTTAAAATTCAACTTGAAGAAAGAGTTTGAGACAGTTCCGTATGGACCAATGACAATGTATATAATTTTATATGTATATAACTATATAATTTACTAGATTGAAGAAAGATTTATTAAGATAATTTTAATCGACCATTAATAACAATTTGATGCATGCCAAGTTTTAAATAAACAATGTAAATATAGTTTTAGCATAGTAGTTCTAATTTTACTAACTTCCTATAGTAGTTCTAACCTAATATTGATTCTGAAAAGCCCTTTTCAGGGACGATAAATTTTATATATTCATTCATTCATATTCACGAGGGGTGATTTTTTACTTCCAAGTGGGACAAATGCTTTTAGATTTTAGATAGCTGCTATTGTTCTATCAATTATTTATTGATGCTGTAAAAAAAATACAGCTGGGGATCAAGAACTGGCATTTATCGTGCAGAAAGGTGACAAGACATGGCAATGGCGACATAATTGATGAAATGTCAGGGGACACAAAAAATATTACATGGCACTACTTCAAAACCCATCGAAAATTGGTTGAATAATTCTTTAGAATCGTGCTAAAGTACAGTATTTGGATAGTGCTTGCGACTGACAGCTAAAAACAGCGATCAAATTTTTAAAATATGACTGAAATCATGTTATGGCGGGGGTAAGTGAAATGAAATATGTCGTATCGCAACAAAACATTGTTATTTCCTAGGAAATTTATAATTAATATATTTAAACAAGCATGTTTTTTCATTATATGGCAAAAATTTTAGAAAATAGGGAAAATTAGAATTTGCCAGGTGAATCTGTAATTTTATGCATAATTAGCAGTTGACCTGGAATAGTAAACATTTATTTTCTTGTAAAATATAAAACTTAGGCTAATTTCACCCTCCATTGACCACCCCTAAAAGCAACCATTCTGAACCATGGTTGACGAAGACATTAAGACTTCAGGATTTAGAGCTATGTTGACTATGCCTGTTCTGGGTGTGGTCATTTTCAGGACTTTCGTCCCGGATTCAGATTTTGGCACATATGCCATGTTGACCGCCATGGTCATTTTACCATAAAACAGTTGAGATAATCTGTCCTAAATGAAATGCATACAAACTCCTTTACAGGTTTTAGACTAATAAGGAAAACACAGTAAGTATGAAATATGGCCATGCCCCCCCCCCTCCCAGCGATGGTTTCAAGAGGGGCGCCGAAATGCCAGTGGGGCGCTAAAATCGCCAAGAAGGGCCTGGATTAGTATGATGTATCTTATGATTATTAAAGTTGTGACATTCAGACTTGAAAGCAAACACCTAGTATAACAACCTAGAATAGTTTTAGAAGAAACAATGTAAGGGTGGCTCGCCGAAATAGAAACATGTGGTAAAGTTTTTGTATTGAAGAACGTTTTATGTGTACCAGTGAAAATATCGTCTTACCCTTTTCACGCTAGGGAGGCAACTCAGGCAAGGATTGCTGGACTGTTGCTTCAGTGTTTAGCTGTTTCAGAACTCAGAAAACAGATAAATCGGTTAGTATACTTTAACTATATTCTCTTTAAATTTTCTCAATAAGCTTCTTGTTAGTTGTTGAGGTCCTCGTAAGAAAACAAGATGAGTTATAAAATTTAAGAATGAAGTTGTTTTATAATTAATATTTTATATCAGGAATCATGATATCAGAAATCTGTGTAGGTTTTTTTAAATTAAACAATTTTGAGCACACTTCACTTTTAAATACTACTAGTAAAAATCAGCGGTGCACCAGATTTAGAATCTGGACGGTTTTAATGAATTTACCGGCATCCGGCCGAATTAAGAAATTTAAAAATACTTTTTATTGATATTCCAATTTATCCTCATTAGTCCTCATTACCTGTTAATCTCAAATCCGGCCGGAATTTTTATTTAAATCTGGTGCACTCCCAGTGTAAGTTGTGATATTGTGTGTCACATACCCATTGCAACCTGCATGATATTATTGCAGGTTAGCTGGAAAACGTTGATATGGACATGGAAAAGACGGACACGGACATGGAAAACGCAGACATGAAAAACACAAACATGGAAAACATGGACATGGAAAACACAGACATTACTATTTTAAATAAGCTAGTAGATGAGAGTTTTAAAGTGGAGATATACTATTGTGACGATGTTATGATTTGTTGTTATTTAATGTATTTCTTCATTACTGCAATGCCATGTTGTAAATGTTGCTTTGTTTTTATTCCTCAATATATTGCAAATACCAAAAATTACGGTGGCCCACAAGTGTCACCACATTTGCAATTTGTTCGATACATTAACATATCGCTCACAGCAACAATAAATTGCTTACAGCATTAACAAACGCTCAACAGCATCACTAAATTGTATCACAGCATTAACAAATGACTCACAGCAACAACAAATTGCTCACAGCATTAACAAATGACTCACAGCAACAACAAGTTGCTCACAGCATTAACAAATGACTCACAGCAACAACAAATTGCTCACAGCATTAACAAATTGTGCTACAGGTAGTTAATCCGCTTTATTCTTGTAAAATGAAGTTTATCGTACCTTCTCGCGTGGTCGGCGGGCCGCCTGTGCCAAATATTTTGAAATAAGGACTTATTAAAAGGAAAGGACTGGTTTGAAAATGTTTTGTTCAAAATGTGGTAGAGAGGCAAAAGTAAAATCGAATTTTTGTTCGAATTGTGGAACAGGTAGGTGCATTCTTAGAATTTTAATGATTATTGTATATAATTATAGCTACTGTGCATTCAAATCACCAAGTTAAACGTCACATGTTGGTTGCGTCGAAATTTATGCAATTCAAACAAATAGATGAGATGGTAATGAAGCTTAATGATGTTTATGGACCAGAATGCAACGTATAATATAGGCCTTGGAAACAAATATTAAAGCATCTAGGTTTTGAAGGATGTATACAGCATTAAATATATTTTATATTTTTTGGTTTTGAGAAATGCTTTTCCCCATTTTAACTTTGTTCTCCCTCCATCTCTAATCTTATGAAACCATTCAAAAATGAACCTGAATGAAACTTTGATACCATAATCATTTCATTGGTAGAGCTTTGTGGAAATTCTGAGGAAGGACCAAGTACTAGTGTTGGAAAGACAACTTTAGATTATAGTACGCAAGGTGTACCTAAAGGTCTACACCCCACTGGTAGAAATATAAAGTCATTTGCTGACTATAGAAAGGCAAAAGGGAAACAGTGGAAAAAATCTGTCTCACCAAAAAATCCTGATGAAGACAAACCTAACACTAAATCAAAAGAGCGAGATGTGTGCATTAACATTGGTCTATTAGGTCCATTGGTCCAACAAGGCAAACTATAAAACAGTCTGTAGTAAAGCTATATTAAAGTGGAAAGCTTTTTATTCCCACTTGTACTCTGAAAGTGATGAGTATGTCATGCTATATGAGAATGGAGAAGAAGCCATTTTTTTGCCTGGTTCTGCAAAAGAATTCTTTTCCCTAGAAAGATATCAACAAGAATTAGGTAAAGATTATAATAGGATTACTTTATTCCTGTGCACATCTTTGGATTACAACATTTCTAAAGGCTTGAATGACAGTGATGAAGACAATGCTATTTTCAATTGTGATATGCCTGGTGTTTTAAGTGCTAAGTCTGAATCACCTGATTTCCAGCCAAATGCAAAATTCCCAAAACTTTATAGTAATACGGAACAAAATGACAAAGAGAACAATGAGCTGCAAATAGAGAACGATGAGAGATTAGCAATTCAGCTCCAGCAAAGGTTTGAAGATGAATTGGAAGATGACAAGAACAATGAGGCAAGTAGCATACCTATAGTCCATGTAGAGGATTGCAAAGAAGATGGGATAGACCATACCATACATGTAGTTCATGAAATAGATAAATGTGATGAAACGAAAGAAGAATTTACTAACAAAGCATCAGTCATACAACATCTAGAAAAGCAGACTGATAACGAGAACGAATTCTTCCTTGTCATAAGAAGAAAAGTACCTTTCCATAGAGCGCTTCTCTTATGGCAACATGAGGCAAAGAAATCATCCCCTATGCGGAAACTCACAGTCAAATATATTGGCGAAGATGGTATTGATACAGGGGCACTTGCTAGGGAGTTTCTTACTGACGCCATTGATAATATGCGCTCTATTATGTTTCCTAATGGATGCCCTTTCGACTCCACATACCATATCCAGAATGGAAATTTCCGTACATGTGGCCAGATAGCTGCTGTAAGTCTGGCACAGGGTGGTCCTAGTCCATCTCTTTTTGACGAATGTGTTTATGAAACACTTGTCAATCCAGATATTGATATGATGAAACTTAGCACTGACAAACACCTTGCAAAGAGTGAGAAGGTACTGATAGAAGGCATTATAAGTGATGTGAAGGGAAACGAGACCACAATAATGGACAATGGTTACACCGGTTTAATCAATGATGCACATGTTGATGAAATAGTTAAGTCTATTGTTATTAACCTTATTAACAAGAGAATCTTGTACCTAAATGAGTTTTTGCAAGGCTTATCATTATATGGATTTGATAAAATTCTCAGGAAAGCTCCAGACAAAGTCAAGTCCTTATTTGTTCAAGGATCTACCCAAGATGACATTGACGCAAATTATCTTTTTTCCTGCATGGAGCCAGTATATTCGGAAGAAGGCACCAGCAGAAGAGTACAAGAGGAAAAGGTTGTTGATAATTTCCAGGATTTTCTTATGAGCATTGAAGATACAGAGGTTACTGGGTATTCAGCACCTGTTGCATGGAATTACCAAGATAAAGATGAAGAGCAGGTAATTTCTGATGTTTTACCTGAAGAAAGATTTGAAACAGCAGAGGTGAATGTGCCTGGGGTTATGAAATGGCTCACTGGCCAAAAGCACAAGCCTTTAAGTGGCAAGAAGTTGGTGATTAGCGTTTTGTTTGATCATGACTGTCAATCAAGGGACCCAAAGCATACTATCTGCTATCCATTAATTGGGGCCTGCGGAATGCAGATTACATTTCCCATTGCCCATATGGTGGATGCAGCAGAATTTCATAAAAATTTATTAATAGCTTACTCAAAAGGTCAGGCATTCGGTAAGCCATGAACATGCATTAGATTTTTCCGTATAATAATGGGGCTGTTGTTATTGTTGTTGGGTTAACATGCATCTTTGGGCCAGTTGTATCACAGTTATACAAAAACTGGATAGCACTATTCACCACATAGGATTTTTTAGTGTTCTAAATATGCTTGAAAGCGCTAAAGCCACAAATTTGGAGCTAACAACTGCTAAAGAGTACCTGCAATTTAAGAATGCTAAGGTTTAAGCCATTACGCTGAACGACCATAGGCAGCCCAGAAATCTGTTTATACTCAGTCTTCGACTGCATTGTTTACGCGCGCGGTCAGCTTGTCTGTACTAACTACTGTCTGTACTTATATATTGATATATAATACAGTAATCAGTAGACAGAAGAAGCCTGTACTAACTACTGTATTATATATTGATATATAATACAGTAATCAGTACAGACAGTAGAAGCTGACTGCGCGCGTAAACAATGCAGTCGAAGACTGAGTATAAACAGATATCTGGGCTGCCTATAGAACGACAGGCAATTTTTAAGCATTAAAAAAATACTATATAGTAGGTAACGTTATCCAGCTTTTATACAACCGGCCCTACATTGTAAAATGTTTACAAGTTCCAGTTTAACTGTAATACTGAGGTTGAATTGTTTATGTTTTGATTGCACTGTTGTATATTTAAGGTGGCTCCCTACAGTTTTAAGAATATTGAAAACTAATGTTTTAGATTGAAATTTTTGGCAAGAAATTTCTTGCTAAACGAAATAAAATTTTCCAGATAAAACAGCGAAGATTGTCTTCGAGTATCACGTCATTACCGTGGTTATGGTAACAATGGCGATCCAATATGGCCGCCATTTTACCTATTCACGCATTTTACTCAAAAACAAGTTCTGTTACCCCAATTTTTTATTTTATAAAAAGTTTTCTTACAAAAAAATGAAAAATTTGAACGAGTTAAAAAAATTCATAGAGCCAAAATTATTAAAAATTAAAAAACGTGATTTTTCGTTATAGAAATTTTCTGGCTCTATAGAATTTTGTTAAACTTCCTCAAATTTCCTAATTTTTTTGTAAGAAAACGTTTCATGAAATAAAAAATAGGGGTAATAGGGGTAAAATGCGTGAATAGGTAAAATGACGGCCAATATGTCGGCCATATTGAATCGCCATTGTTACGATAACAACGGTAATGACGTCATGCTTATGGGCAATTTCTGACTGTTAGAATGTTGGTTAATATATCTGGGAAATTTCTTTTCCTTAGCAAGAAATCTCGTGCTAAAATTTTACATCAAAACCACAAGTTTTCAATATTTTTAAAAATTGTAGGGAGCCACCTTAACAAGTAATTTGTGCATATTCAAGGAAGTTGTTCCTGGAAAATTACAAATCTTGGTAAAAAAAAAAGGTTAAAATTACTTATTTGGGGTCATGACGTGTGAAATTTACTCTAATAGTCAAGTAAACATTCAGTTGCATGCCATTTGCACAGTTGCACTTTTGATTAAGCACTGGCTTTGATTAAATTACCTTAAAAGTAAAACTAATCTAAAAAGGCAATTATCAACAACCTATATTTATAAATGTGCATGGTACATTTAGCATATACAGTTTTTTAAAAAACCATAGCAAAATTTTATTCTGTTCCATGTTCAGCAATTTCAAGTAAGGAATTATATAAGTCCAAAGCTGTTTGCCATGAATCAGGTACACGGCAACCCAGGCTCAACCTGACATACTCAAAATAGTCTTGAAGTTCATGTGTTTGAACCTCCTCAATCACATGCGTGGAAGCATATTGGATCTTTTCCTCAGACACCGGCACAAGTCTATCAACTGTGCCATGATGCTCAGGAAGAAAAAAGAGAGAGTCCGGCCATTTACAGTGTCATGTCGAGATTTTCTAATATAATGAGAATTCCAGTTTTCTACGACAGTATCTAATTCAATTTGAATGGCAGGTGAGAAACAGTACCAAAGACATTCCATACTTATTTCACTAGACGAATTTAATATACCTTGAGATTCTAGATCTGCAAAAAAGCTTCTCCACCATTGCATTTGTTGTTTAGACAAGAACGACCACCAACATTCAATGCGTTGGTTCCTTTGTGATGTAACATAGCGATGTGCATCAATGTTATATCGAAAAAAGCTTTGCATTGCTCCTGCCATACCATTTTCTGTCCCCAGGTCACTGATTAACTCCACTGGGCATCCACCCAAGGAACTTACTGTAGTTAGGTATAGTGATGCCGGACCATCCGGTAGGTTGTTTGATGGAAGGACTGATAGCCATAATATTCGTCTACTGTATCCATCTATGCATCCATGGATGGGGAATCCCCATACTTTTAGTTTGTCATAGCCATCGATGTGCCATGCATAGTTTGGGCCTGGGTTTCTATACACCCTCCTTTTTAGGCGGTGAGATTTTCGCAGTTCGGTGCCTTGTGGGTCCAATTCTTTAAGAATAGCTGCAACAACTACCCTTGGTACTCTTAATCCTTCAAGTTCCAGTCTGTGCCACAAAGATCTATATCCTTCTGATGAACCTGGACCATCAATGATAGTTGAAAGCCTTTCTCTGACTAAATTTATAGTGTTGTCAGTCACTTGCTGTTTTTTTCTAAGTCCATAGTGTTGAAGCCTTCTCAGAAGTGTACAATAACTTATGCAATGATTATGGTGTTTTTCTAGAAATTTTAGTATCTCTTTATATGCGAATCCACGGTGGTAATAGTACTTAATAAGACTTTCTTCATCAAAAACACCTTGGAATGTTCTAAATCTGATCCTGAGCTTTCATCGCTGTGCAAATCTTAAAACAGGATGATTTGATAAAACTGTTGAAATTTCATGATATAATTATATTCACATTCAGGTTATAACTTATAAATTGATTATCTAGAAGTGCAGAACAACATCTAGGACGCCGGACTGGACAGTTAACATTTAACAACTTAACATATTAGATGTTTATACCATAGGATGTTACTAAGTATAGATGTGTACGTACCTGCTCCACAGTTTGCACAAAAATTTGATGGTGCTTCTGCTTCTCTACCATGGCCGCAGTTTGAACAAAACATTTCGTTTTTTTCTCAAAATTTATAATAAAGCACTAAAGCAGAGTCAAGAAGAGATTCTTTCGTACCACAAGTCCACAAGAATGTTCAATACTTCGTTTTGCAAAGCATATAGTGGTTCAATAATCTGCGATGCAATTTGTTGTTGCTGTGGATATTTGTTAATGCTGTGAGCAACTTGTTGTTGCTGTGGATATTTGTTAATGCTGTGAGCAACTTGTTGTTGCTGTGAGTCATTTGTTAATGCTGTGAGCAATTTGTTGTTGCTGTGAGTCATTTGTTAATGCTGTGATACAATTTAGTGATGCTGTTGAGTGTTTGTTAATGCTGTAAGCAATTTATTGTTGCTGTGAGCGATATGTTAATGTATCGAACAAATTGCAAATGTGGTGACACTTGTGGGCCACCGTAAAAAATGGTGTATTTATCCAAAATAAGTAAAAGCCCTACATGAAAATTTTTTATTGCAAATTTTGAAATTCCCATGCCAACAAAATCGGTCCAAATTTGCAGTTTCAAAACATTTCGAGTGAAAAATTTATATCAAGAATCTTCTTCTAAAGTGGTCTATATATAGATATATAGATATATAGATATATAGATATATAGATATATAGATATATAGATATATAGATATATAGATATATAGATATATAGATATATAGATATATAGATGTATAGATGTATAGATGTATAGATGTATAGATGTATAGATGTATAGATGTACAGATGTATAGATGTATAAATGTATAAATGGCCGCAGATAGATAGATAATTAGAATTGCATATGTTGTGTAATATGATTGAAATCCCAGGCTAGATTATAGAATACCCGACCACTTTTGATCCTGTTTATATTTTGGGATACGGTGATACGCAGTGGATGAGTTACGTCACACTTCCTAAATATTGAGTTTCATTAATACGGGGATGCCTTGAGACATATAGTTAATAGAATTACATAATCATTTGTTAAGTAACAAGATGCCCGCTAGGCATTAACCTCGCCTAGTCGCGTTGCTTGTGCTAGGTCATCCGGAGAAGGGAAATGCCTTTGTTATAACTGAACTCTGATCGGTGGTAGTCCATCTATTATAAAAATAGGCACACAATGTGTGGATGTGTCCACTCCTCGTGTTAACAAAAAGAGAATCATGCAGATAAACAAACAGATAAACGTTTGTGGCCGCAAGTGTAGTCAATTGGATTTTGGAATTGGATGGTTCAGCGTTTCGAATCATTTAGTATTTATGCGGGTTTTTAAAAACAACATACACATCCCGCATTGTATGCCTCGTTCTTAAAAAAGCCTGTATCATATATTATCCTAAATGCAATATCACTAGCTATGTGCATGTCGTTTTTAAAAACCCGCATAAATACAATATATGATATATATGGCTCGTTCTTAAAAAACCGCATCATAAATAATGGGCCGTTCTTAAAAAAAACCCGTCATAGTATTATGATATGAATGCCTGGTTCTTATTACAAAAACCGATCATAAAGATATGCTATATGCATGCTGCGTTTTTAAAAAATCCCGCATTTTATGCCTTTCTTAAAAAACCCGTATCATATTATCATAAATATAACATCCATCATAGTCTTAAAAAAACCTGTACGTATCATAAATACTATGATTTGTATTTCTTGTTCTAAAAAATAGCCCACATCATAAATACTATCGGATGTATATGCCTCTTAACAGTTGTATTTCTTCTTTTTGAAAAACATGCAACATAATAAGCAACAAAGTTTTTTCATTAAAATCTATATTACTGTTCCTATAACACATACATAAGCCTAATTTACTATATTTCAACTCAATTTACCCACTACATTAGTCAAAATAACAAAATACATGAATCAGAATGTTTTGTTCGCATCTCCTCTACTGCTATCCCCTTAGTCTTAACAGAAACATTGTAGTTTTAATATTAGAACTGTCCATATATTTTCTTCCCATCGTTCAAGAAAAATCTTCAAATAAATCTTCACCTTTGTGTTCATATCTTCATAGGAATTCAGCTAGATATGACGAAAACATATACTTCCTTACGCCAAAAGCTGAAAATTTTGCCTTTGCCTAACGCCAGTGTCCTTCAATTTTATTTGTGTGATCGCCATCCTTATTTACAAATTCCTTTGAGTGATTTACAGTCATATGCTTATAACCATGTTTCTCGAGCTTTGAATACGCCTTCCAGCAATCTGATATTATGGTTGTGCCCTTCGTGATGAAAGTTTCGATTATTGGCAATAGCGTTGCCTCACTCCTATCTTCAACCGCAAACATAAAACTCTTACGACTACCCTCTTCAATACCACCAAAAACCCATTGCCCTTCAACCTTGTGACCTCTATGATACTTGCGTTTTCCAAATTGCTTTCGTCGATTTGCACCCTCTTATCTGGACCACCTAGTTTTTCCTCACATTCTAAATAGTTTACCTCACAGGTTTCCCTACAAAAGCTATCCCAATCTACAACCGTATTTCCACTAACATCAACCTCAAACCTCATTGTTTCCTGCTCGACCCCTCTACACCACCAATATGTCAACTTCAAAATTTCTTCAAGCGTCAAATTACTTTTCTCAAACCAACTACCTTTTCGAATTGAAAACTCAACTTTGTGCCTTTTCCCATTAATCTGCTTTCTGCATTCCCACTTACAACCATCTGATCGGTCATTACACTCAACTAGTTTCATCTCAACATCACATTGCGGACACAACCTTCTCTTCACAACCTTTTCCATTAGCCAACTTATCACACGATTCTTACTTGATATTACTTCTTTAAGTTTATCATATGTCCAGTGGCCATTTTTTTCGCATTTACCACGCTGGTAGCTTCTATTCCCTTCGCTTGCGTCGCATTGTGTTGCAACACTAGCGCATTGCAGAAATGACAATTCCGTTTGAATTTGCTTTTCTTTTCCTACCTTTCCCGCAACTTGAACCCCAATGTCAGCAAATTTTATTTGGCTAAGCATATTTTTGAAGAATTAGAATAATATCTAACAGAAGGACTACAATAATATCTGACCAAAGGTTATTAACGATAAGCTTAATTTGATACATCATTTATCACATACCTGTCAAAAATACTCAACGCGACAAAGTCACATAATATTTTGCCGCCTACGTGTCATGCCACGTAGATTTTCTTTTTTACTCTTGCGCAATGCCTGCCTACACTAAATTTGCCCATTTTTAATACTCAAAAGAAAACAAAACATTTTAAATTGCGTGTGTGTTCAAAATATTTCCAAATTGTAAAATGTAACATAAATTGTAAAATGTATATATATATATATATATATATATATATATATATATATATATTCCAAGATGGTATCTCTGCTTCCAGTCAAAATATAATTCTTTACAGCTGCTGACAAACCAGCAATTCCTCTGCAACCATTAAGCAAGGAGTGTAAAATCATCTTTCCAACAATTTGGAACATTCCACTAGATAATAAATCGTAATCATAAGTTGGTATTAAGTGGTCCTTTCTCCCTCAAAAAACCGAATCCCTTAAAACCACCAGTCTCAAGTTCTTTCATCAACTCTTTCAAGAACTCTTTGGTTGGACCACCTGCATCAACTCCAAATTCATCAGTATCAAAGCTTCGAAACTCCACAAAAAGTTGATCACCCAGATCAAACATGGGTTTTTTATATTTTGCAATAATTTGGCTGATAAAACTCTTCTCTCTTGTAATGAAAAAATGCCCTTCAGACCAACTTTTACATGTCTGACAAAATATGGCTTTAAATAATCGATTGGATCAAGTTTGACTTTCTTGGTTTCAACTAGTGTTGAATTTAAAATCTCATCATCTGAAGAATCGTCTATATTAAAGTAAATCATACCGAAGATGAATGAAAACACAAAACAATTGTGGGCACAAATTTCAGCTCCTATAATGGACAATTTGCATGATAGACATTCCTTATTTTGTATCTAGATTTATTGGTACATATTCATCACGCTATAACAGTTGTTTTCAAATCAGAGCAGTCAGGGATATATGTATAACAAATACACACGAATATGTATTAAACACCCAGAGATGACCTGAAAAACTAGTGTAAAAAATTTAGGTGGAAAGTGCAAAGGGGAATGGTATTATACAGACTATACAGCAAGGAAGCATAATGTTTGAGTTTAAAAGGTAGATATTAAAACAAAATCAAAATTTTCAATATTTGGTACTTGCAGTTAGTTTATATGGAATGGAAGCTAAGACCTCCTTTGGAATTCTAATGTATCTCTCATAACAATAGATAGGCAGAATGAAATGAATTGTTTTACGGCGGCGGCGTGTGTTTGTTTGGTTGACAGTGCCCATGAATGCTGAATAAGTTCATAAACACAGTCCTTTAAGTTTGAATCATGGATACTGGAATGACGCAGGGCAGAGGAGAGGCCAACAGTGCTAATTGTTTGAGGCAGTCTATCTGAAAACGAGACAGCGAGTCAGCAATGCCATTGTCAAATCCGCATACATTCCGGCTGTAAATGTGAAGTTGTTTTTGAAACTACAAAGAACAATCGGTCAGAGTAAATCCATTATCTTCGGACATTTTGACGTCTTCTGATTGAGAATTTGGACAATAGACTTGTTGTCACAGAAAAACATATGCGTTTTGTTATGTTTTAAGGAAAACATATAACATATAATTTCAGTATGCATAATGTGGATCATAGTAAGTTATAACAACAGACGTATGGAACACAATTTTGATGTTAGGACCAAACCAATAGCGTTAGAATATAGAAAGCACCTAAGTACTGTAAGGTACGTCAAATGTGTGACCACCTAGATATGCAGTTAGTGAATTGAGTATTGAATTGTGACTTGACATCAATTAGCACATCCTTTACTGTGTGTCTTTAACTGTAATTGAGATTTTGGTACGTGTATGCATGGAAAAGTTGAAATCTTAAAAGTGAAGTTATAAAAATTACTCCTGAACATAATTCTTATCATATATATGCTAAAAGCACAAAGCTAAGTTCAAAATAGAAAGCAAGTCTATTGTTATATATGTGCTTTATTTGCACCGAATAAAATTTCAAAAATATCTTTGTTTTCTTTGAAACCAAAATACTGTACTCACTACATAAAACTATGTACGCAATTAATAACTAGGGATCCAAGGATAGTGCAAAGTTTTCATGCCCTGTAATACCTAAGCAACCAAACGTTTGTCCCAACACAACATTTTGACTTATGCCAGTAAAAATATAATGAACTAGGTTAAAAATTAATGTTACTCCCGGCACGCAATGTGTTCGCGATTGTGCCTGCTGGTTGCCGAGATTATTCGTTGATAAATACTGACAAGTTAATCCGATTCGCACGATAAATATACCCTCGCAATTAATAGATTGGGTTCTTTATTAATCACAATAACTTGACGTAAAACTAAAGAAGATAAACATACGAAATACATAAGGAAATATATGCTACGAATATATAACGATACACAGCAATTATATAATAGAGAAACTGACCGAATTTCCTCTCTTGCCGAGCACACACATCCAAATATCAAATAAAGTTTCTTGCACAAATCACAGTATAAATCGAGTTCTAAACTAAAACAGTAATGTTCCTTTTTAAGTATAAAATCCAGTTGCTCAAAACAAATTGAGCCTACAAACATGTCGCACACATGAGCCTGCAGTTACATGGCTCTCCTAAATTGCAAGCAAACGCAATTTACAACAAAGTCAATAAATGTTCCATACAAGGCTCTTCGGCGGGGATTCTTCAATCCATGGCTGTATCTTCAGACTTCAGAAGTAGCACCAGTTTATGGACTGGTCTGTCCAGAACGGTCGTTGCTCGAAGACGTTTTCCTTCTCTTGAAAGTAAAGGGTCGCTCGCGGTGATCTTTACCTTTTGAACAAGTCCATCGTCAGAGGTATAGGCTTCTTGGACTCGAGCGGTACGCCAGCATTTTCTTGGCACGTTTTCGTCTTTAAGCAATACGATATCGCCTGCTTGCATGTTTCTTTGGGGGTGTACCCATTTCTGTCTTCGTTGCAAGGAGAGTATAAATTCTTTGCGCAAACACAGCCAAAATTGATTTACGAGATATTGGACTCGCCGCCATCGCTTAACGATGTACACGTCCGCTCTCTGGATTTAACCAGGGGGAGGTAAGAGGACTTGGGTCTTCATGGTGAGTAGGTGGTTAGGGGTGAGTGGTTCGGTTCCGTCAGGTGAAGTCAAGTTGTCAATAGTAAGTGGTCGGCTATTTACTATTGACTCAGCCTCACACATAAATGTTCTTAGCGATTCTTCATCTAGTTGCATACCATGATCGTCAAGTAGCGCATTGAGAACGTTTCGCACTGTCCTTATTTGGCGTTCCCACACTCCGCTCATGTGGCTTGCCTTGGGTACGTTCGTCTGGAACTCTATCCAGTCGCATTCCGTTGCAACTAGAAATTCTCGTACTCTGTCTTGATTGATTTCTTTCACTGCTTCGAATAATTCATTTCAGGCACCCATCAAGTTGGTACCTTGGTCGGATCTCAGAGTTCTTACGGGACCCTGTCTTGCCAAGAAGCAGCGCAGTACGTTGATGAAGGAGTCTGTTTCCATTGTTTTGGCCACCTCAAGATGTATCGCGCGAGATGCAAGGCAGGTGAACACGACTCCGTAGCTCTTCATCTCTCGTCGTCCCTCCTTTATGCGCCAGGGGCCAAAGTAGTCCACACCGCAGACCGTAAACGGAGGTGATGGTTCTAGGCGATCATTGGGTAGGTCCGCCATCTTCTGATCTTGGGGTGAAGCACATAACTTCCTGCACGTTAGGCAATCGTAAATATGACAACCGACTGCGGAGCTTCCACCGGTTATCCAGAAGCCATTTGCTCGTAGCTCGTTGTGGGTCATTCCGCGGCCCTGATGACGAATCCGTTGGTGATAGGGCCTGATAACTAACGCCGTTACGTGTCCCTTTCGCGGGAGAATGACTGGATGTTTGACGTGAAATGGAACGCTAGCTTGGGTGAGGCGACCACCGACTCTAAGAATTCCTTCCTTGTCCAAGAATGGATTCAAGCGAAATAGACAACTCGATCGCTTCATAACAGTCTTACGTTGTCGGATGCAATCTCTATCTTAGAACTGTTCTCTTCCATATTGCACAATAGTTGAATTTCTTTTGAGAATGAGGTCTCTTGCACTGCCCTTACGATGGCTAGTTCAGCTTGATAAAGTTCCTTAACGTTGGATCGACGATATTGCGGTACGTTCGTCTCGGGCGAATTCTTGTCATCTTGATGAATATTCTTCGTTCGTTGTTGCCATCTCATAATCATGGCTATGGCTCTCTTGGCACGATGCCATTCGTAGAAGTACTCCAGACGCTCAGAGATCGTTAGGAAATTGGTTATCGACGCTCGGGTGGCAAAAACTGTTCTCTTGACTTCGGGATCGTCTTGCAACAGCGGGTGTTCGACGGCATCAGCCAGGTCGAGTTGAGGGTTCTGGAGGAATGACGGACCAGAAAACCAATGTTCGCTATCAAGAAATTCTGGAGTAGTTACGCCTCTAGAGGCTTCGTCTGCTGGGTTTTCTTTACTTTTGACATATCGCCACTGCTCAGGAGACGTTTCATCACGAATCTGCTGGACTCTGTTAGCGACGAAAACATGGAATCGTCGAGAATCGTTATTGAGGTAACCGAGCACCACCTTACTATCGGTCCAGTATACGTCCACGGTCTTGTGATAATCTAGCTCTTTGTGCAACATGGTACTGACTCTTACTGATACCAAGGCTGCCGTCAGCTCGAGGCGAGGTATTGTGATTGATTTCAAAGGAGAGACATGAGACTTTGCCATGACGAGTTCGCAATGAACTTCTTTGCGCGCATTGACCAAACGTACTTATGAACACTGTCCGTATCCAGATGCACTCGCATCAGAAAAATGAAGAAGCTCTGTTGATTTCACTGGACCAAAATCGTTTGGTTTGTAGCATCTTCGCACTTTAAAGTCGTTGAGTAGACAGAGTTCGTCTCTCCATTTCTCCCATCTGATTCTAATATGGTCCGGAACAGGTTCGTCCCAATCGGTTCCTTCACGGCACAATTCTTGGAGCAGTTGTTTACCCACCAACAGGACTGGAGCCACTAATCCCAAGGGATTGTATATTGAGCTAATTGTAGAAAGGATGCCTCTTCGGGTTAGAGGGGTATCTTGAAGAGTGATACGCATTTGAAGGGTGTCTGACTCAACGCACCAATAGACGCTGAGCGCTCTTTCGATAGGTAGACGGTCGTTATGTAGGTTGAGGTTCTTCAGCGTAGAAGCACGGTCTTCCTGAGAGATAGCTGAAATAACTTCCTTTCGAATTAGAGATAAACTTGTGGAGCCGTAGGCCTCCGCTGGCACACATTTCCTTGGTTTGTTCGATCAGGGTAGTAGCATGCTCAGCAGTGTCGACCGATTTCAGTCCGTCGTCGATGTAGAAGTCGTTCTTTACAAAGTTGGCTTCCAAACTCTGCTTCGTAGTCGTCTGCGATCTTTTTTAAGCCAAAGTTTGCACAACCTGGCGACGAGCCCGCACCGAAGAGGTGAACAGTCATCCTATACTCAATTGGGCATTTTGTAGTGTCTCCATCTTCCCACCATAAGAATCATAGAAAGTTTCTATGCTCTTCTACCACCTTGAATTGGTGAAACATCGCCTCTACATCGCACATAAAGGCTGTAGAATCCATCCTGAATCAGCAGAGCACACCCACAAGCCGGTTTGTGAGGTCTGGACCTTGCAGAAGGTGATCAATCAATGATTCTCCTTGATAACGTGCGCTACAGTCAAATACGACTCGTATTTTCTCGGGTTGTTTTTGGGTGATATACTCCGTGGTGTGGGATATAGCATACGTTGCTGTCTGCATTGGCAAGTTCGCCTTCGGGAACCTTTTCTGCGTAGTTCTTCTCAATAAGCTCGTTCATAAAGGTGGTGTAATCGTCGCGGTATCTCTTGTTACTTTCCATGCGAGTCCGAAGCTTGGTTAAGCGGTGCAAAGCAATCGACTTGTTATTAGGCATAACTGGGTTTTCCCTTCGAAATGGTAGAGGCATTTTATAGTGTCCATCCTCTCGTTGGCGGACGCCTTGCTCCATTTTCGACAAAAACTTCTTGTCGTCTTGTGACATCGGTTGATCTGAACTTCTTTCCGAAAAGTCCGATTCTAACATTTCTCGAAACTGAACAGGGTTAATAACCTCCTTGATGCTTGGCTGGAATGCAAAGCGGCAGGTCTTCTGTGTAGATGCATCGTGGGATTGGATGCTTTTCGTCAATATGCGATTTGCAACGCCGTTCGAAACATCCTCGTCTGCTACAGCACCGCCAACATTGCCGATAATTCCCCATCCAAGATCAGTCCTTTGAGCATATGGTTCGTTCGGTTTTCCTGGAATGACTTCGCGTGGCATTATCCCTTGCAATCAATTAGAGCCAATGAGAAGTCCTACAATGACGTCTGTCTGTAAAGGAACTAAGTGATGGGCAATACTGTTCAGATGTGGCCATGGATGAACCATCTCGGGACATGGTATCTGTTGTCGCTTCGCTGCTATTGTCTCGCACAAGAAGGCTGTTGGAAGCTGTATAGTTGTGTTATCATTTATATCACTCACTACGAGGCCCTTGATTTTTTGGCTAGGGACCAGTTCGTTTTCGGCGTGCATAGTTGATAGAGAAAGTTGTGTTTTAGTTCCTTTGACTTGAAGACAGCTCATTGTTTCTTGCGAGATGAATGTTGTTTGATTGATCATCCAATAAGGCGTAGACAAGTTTCCTTTTTTGAGCATTGTCCGTGTGACTGATCCATACAGGCACGATCATAGAACCCATTCGATGTTGATATCCGTTATTCATCAAGCACGTCTTGGTACAGCAAACAGATGATTTGTCTCGATCTTCTGGCGGTTTTAAATCTTTCTTATCGTTCATCTCGTTTCTAACGTCCCCATGCAGAGATGTTGGGTGCAGTTTTCCGCATGTGTCACAGGTCTTTCTTTTTTTGCAATATTTGGAGACATGGCCTTGTTTTAGGCAACCAAAGCAAAGTCCTTTTGACTTGGTGAATTCCTTTCTTTCCTTTACGTCCTTCTTGCAGAATTCTTGACATGAATTAAGTTCGTGAGCTCCCTTACAGAGAATACAGGAATTAACGCTTGGGAGTTCATTCTTCGTCGTTTCGTGGTCGTTAGGGTCGTTTTCCTTCGACTTTGTCAACAAGGTGTTTCTAGGTCTTCCTTCATATGCATTGGGAACTTGCTCTTTAACACACCATAACCTTGATTCTTTGGTCGCTTGTAATCGTCGTCTTTACCGATCTTTTGATGATTAACTGGGTCGCAGACTATGTCAGATTCCTTCACAACGAATTTCACGAACTCCGAGAATGGAGGGAAGCTTTCTTTCTCTTCCTTCCAGTTATAAACCAATATTCCCCATCTAACTGCAGCCCACTTTGGTAGCTTGGACATCATCTGATGATTCTCTTGGTCATCGTCTAGCACTTTCAAACTGCTTATCCTCTCCATAGCCTTCTCACACTGGACGAGTAGGTCTGCGTATTTCCTAAGACCGGGACCATCGTTTGGTGCGACTTGCGGCCATTCGTCAAGCCTTTTGCGAAATGCGGATGCGATAGAAAAGGAATTCCCAAATCGTTTCGACAATTGTTTCCTTGCCCTTTCATAAGCATCATCACCATCGAGCAACATGAATCCTTCGACAATTGCCTTAGCTTCACCAGAAACATATTTTCCCAAATAATGCAGTTTTTCGGCAGAGTTAATCGCGCGACTTTCTATAAGCGTTTCAAATGCCTTCGCCCATACTGGGTACTGCAGGGGATCGCCAGAAAAGACACCAGTCTCTGGCAAAGGTAGTCTGCTTTGATTCTGGATTTCCAAAAGTTTCGAAATCGCAGTCAGTTGGGTTTGGACCAGATTGGGGTTTCCAAGGGGTTCTTCCCTCGTAGTTGGAGACTGGTTCCCAAGGTTTACGGGTGTTGAATCCTGAAGGTTAGTATCTGGAGGGCCTTGTTGATTGCCAGTATAATTGGATGCCAGGGGATTGAGTTGGGATGTCGTTATTGGCTCTGGATCATTTATAACTGCAGGAACAGCTTGATTTCCTACTCCACAGGTATGGGCTTCGTTACTGGGCAAGTTCGGCTGAGAATCGAGAAATTTCTTGATATGCTCATCCGCACTAATCTGATTGTCGTCGTCGAAGTCGGGCATTGCAACTTTTTCTTCGAATCTCTTACATACGTCGATCCGCACCTTCTTCTCAGCTAGCTCCTTTGTGATCTCATATTTCTCAGTGGCCATTTCTATTTGTTCTCTCACTCTTTTCTCTTCTCGCTCAATTTCAATCCTTTTCTCTTCGATTTGCTCCAGAGCTCTTCGATTTGCCATATCTAAATCCTCCTTTACCTTAACCATGGTCATTTTGGCCTTAAGGCATGCTAATTCTTCTTCCAAATCAAGTCTGCGTTGTCGTGTAGACGAGGTGGCGCTAAAGGTAGAATGACGAGATGACTTGCCCTTTTCAGATTTTCGACTATAATTTGATGACGCAATGGAACATCTATCGTTGTCAGTCCTCTTTAGGTCGCATATAACCACACCCACTTCCTTGAGCATCTGATTGCTTTCTTGACTCATTGACTCAAATCTTCCGAATAAAGTTATTCTTTCTAATTCAGACTCTGTGACCTTATCTAGTCTTTCTTGCGCTTCAGTTAGTTCACGCATTAGCCTTATCAATGCTTGGGAGCCTTTCTCCAGTGATTCTATATTTCTATCATTAATTAGTTGGTAGTTCAAATTGTTAATTTGCCGTCTCCAATTCTTTGATGCTGCATGAAAATCATTTTGCAACTGTGTTAAAGACTTATCTTTAGTTAATTTTACACTTTCTCCAGTCAATTCGTCCATTTTGCCGATACGATCAATATTTCGCGACAAATTTCCGTATTTCTGCAAATAACGCAATATTCACGAACGTGAGCAGATCAATAGCCGTCGACTTCCGACACCGTTCAGAATGGCGCCAAACAACCAGCGTGGTCAACACGAATTCACAAATTAGTACAATATGTCGATGAGTTTCACTCGATAATTATCAAATTCACAAGTAGATGCAAAAGGTAGATTACGAGAAACAATTTCTGACCTTCCAACGTACAGAATATCCTTGTTTTCTGTTCATAAATAGTAGAGATTCGTTTTACTGTTACTCCCGGCATGCAATGTGTTTGCGATTGTGCCTGCTCGTTGCCGAGATTATTCGTTGATAAATACTGACAAGTTAATCCGATTCGCACGATAAATATACCCTCGCAATTAATAGATTGGGTTCTTTATTAATCACAATAACTTGACGTAAAACTACAGAAGACAAACATACGAAATACATAAGGAAATATACGCTACGAATATATAACGATACACAGCAATTATATAATAGAGAAACTGATGGCTACAATTTATCCATCACTTCATAAGAATAGCCAAAATAGTTGTGTTGTAAATAATGTAAACAAACCGTGGTGCATATTATGTCTATGATGTGGATACTTCGACACGTAAATTGCTACAAAACAATATACTTATAATCAATACTGTATACCGCCAAAATGAATTGATTACTGCACAAAATGTCTGTTTTGTATAGTATCATTTATGTACTGTATGCAGAATACCAGGTATCGACTTGCTATCGACATAATATACATTTGTGTAACTGTGTAAGAGTCTATCAATACATAAACAACACAGCATCGTTTCTTCCTAAGCTCTTAGCTCTA